GATAAAATACATATATACCAAATCGCCAAGGTAAAATCATGTTCAACTCAGTCCGCATATGTGGTCACTCACTTTGGTCTGTAATCAGTCTCAGCCATTATTCTGGGAATGCTTCGTTCCATAACCAGGATTTCACTAGCCTCCTGAAGGACAAGAGGGAGGGGGCAGATCTAATCTTGCTCGGGAAAGAGTTCTATAGTCGAGGGGCCACCACAGAGAAGGCCCTGTCTCTTGTCCCCACCAAATGCGCTTGCGAAGGTGGTGGGACCGAGAGCAGGGCCTCTCTGGAAGATTTTAATGTCCTTGATGGTTCATAGGGGAGAATACGTTCGGACAGGTAAACTGGGCCGGAACCGTATAGGGATTTATAGATTAAAACCAGCACTTTGAATTGTGCTCGGAAGCTAATTGGTAGCCAGTGGAGCTGGTGCAGCAAGCAACACTTCCCATTGAAATACTAATAAATTTATATTTGTTAAAATTGTTCTTTATTTTAATTATTGTATTGTTTTTAAGTGGTTTTTGCACTACGAATAAGATATGTGCAGTGTGCATAGGAATTTATTCATGTTTTTTTCAAATAATCTGGCCCTCCAATAGGTTGAGGGACTGTGACCTGGCCCTCTGTTTAAAAAGTTTGTGGACCCCTGTTCTAGAGGCATTCTCTCCTGACGTTTCGGCTGCATCTGTGGAAAGCATCCTCAGAAGTAGTGAGGTCTGTTGGAACTAGGAAAAAGGATTTATATATCTGTGGAATGTCCAGGGTGGGACCAAGGACTCTTGTCTGCTGGAGCTAGGGATGAATGTTTCAACTGACCACCTTGATTAGCATTTGATGGCCTGGCAGTGCCTGGGGCAGTCTTTTGTTGAGAGGTGATTAGATGTCCTCTGTTGTTTTGCTGTTGTAATTTTAGAGTTTCTTAATACTGGCAGCCAGATTTTGTTCATTTTCATGGTCTCTTCCTTTCTGTTGAAATTGTCCACATGCTTGTGGATGTCAATAACTTCTCTGTGTAGCCTGACATGGTGGTTGTGAGAGTTGTCCAGCATTTCTGGGTTCTCAAATAAAATGCTGTGTCCAGGTTGGTTCATCAGGTGCTCTGCTATGGCTGACTTCTCTGGTTGAAGTAGTCTGCAGTGCCTTTCATGTTCCTTGATTCGTGTTTGGGTAATGCTGCGTTTGGTGGTCCCTATGTAGACCTGTCCACAGCTGCATGGTACACGGTAGACTCCTGCAGAAGTGAGAGGATCCCTCTTCTTGTCCTTTGCTGAACGTAGCATTTGTTGGATTTTCTTGGTGGGTCTGTAGATAGTTTGCATGTTGTGTTTCCTCATCAGATTCCCTCTGTGGTCAGTGGTTCCCTTGATGTATGGCAGAAACACTCTTCCACCAAAGATCTCTGTCTTGACTCTCGTGGGTTCTTCTCAGTCTTGCAGCTCTTCTGATGTCTGAGGTGGAGTCTCCATTGGCCTGGAGAGCCCAGTTGAGATGGTTCAGTTCATCTTGGAGATATTTCAATGTCCTAGCCATACAAAGGAACAGTGAAGATGTGTCTCAAAGCCAAGATGAGGATTTTAAGCTCCTTTCTCGTGGTCATATAGAAATTATACTTTGGTAAAATGTAATTCCAGTCTATACCTCAATCCTGTACACTTCCATTTGGAAACAAGTCTCATTTCTATGCTTAGATTGGCAATTCAAGAGTGTGATTCTGGCTGTACAGGCTTTTTTGTTCTCTGAATGGCTCTCTTTATTATTCACTCCTTTCTTTCTTCAGGAATGCCAGAGCAGCTCCTATGGGCACACACAGAGCCGCTTGTGTGGTCTTTTAGCTGAGCAATGATCAGATTCACAGCTCACTCTGGCATTCGGTCATTTACTTGGGCCAGTCATTCCTGTCCCAAAAAGTATTTTTTAGTGGCAGAAATGTGATGCAGCACTGGTTGTCAGGAGCTAGTGTTCTGCAGAAGGAGGGTGGGGTTTTCAATGCTTCAGTGCTTTCTCTTAGAAATAATCTGTGCAAGATCACTCACAGTGTTTCCGTTTCTGTGATGAAATTTGAGTTTTAAAGTGGATTAGAAGAACTGGAATGCTATAGCTCTGTATGTATAGCACTTCTCCCCAACGCCAACGGTCGCTCTGGGCCAGAGTGAAGAGAGAGGGCCAGGGGACAGTTCCACCTTGTCTACTGTGCTATTCTAGTAATATAATATATTGTATATACGTATAATATTTATAATATTATAATTAATGCAATATAATAATATGATATTATAATTATATATTTATATTACATGTAATATTACTAATAATATTACGATATAGTGGTGTGGTGCAATATAGCAATGTTTAATGCTGATATTGTACTATTCTAATAATATAATATATTGTATGTAATATATACCTTGTAAGCCGTTCTGAGTCCCCTTCGGGGTGAGAAGGGCGTCAAATATAAATAAATAAATATGTATTCCTGCTAAGTCCTATATCCCCCAGCATCTTTTGCAGGGAATCCAAATTTGTATCAAATAAACAAGATGAAGCCAAAGATTTTCATGGCCAGAATCATTGGGTTGCTGTGACCACTCTAGAGTGGCTGGACCACTCTAACAGCCATTATGTCAAACTACACAGAGAAGCCATTGAAATCCACAAGCATGTGGACAATTTCAACAGAAAGGAGGAAACCATGAATGAACAAAATCTGGCTGCCAGTATTTTAAAAAAAACTCTAAAATTAGGACAGTAAATAAAGTGCAACACCCCAAAAGCAGGAGAATTCCAGACAAGAATCAATCATGGCCATCTATTGTTATTGTGTTGAGGCCTTGGCCTTTGTAAGCTGCATCGAGTCCTTCGGGAGATGCTAGCGGGGTACAAATAAAGTTTAATAATAATAATAATAATAATAATAATAATAATAATAAAATCTAACACCTCCCAACAAAGGATTCCCCCAAGCAGCAACTAGCCAGGCTTTGAAGCTGTGGGGTGATTCAATGCTAATCAAGGTGGCCATTTGCAACATTCACGCCTGCCTCAAGCAAACAATAGTTCTTTCTCCCACCCTGGACATTCCACGGGTATATAAACCTCACTTGCCTAGTTTCCAACAGATTCCTCAACCTCTGAAGATGCCTCCCATAGATGTGGGTGAAACATCAGGAGAGAATGCTTCTGGAATGTGATCATACAGACCAGAAAACTCACAGCAACCCAAACAAGAGGAAGCCAGAAGTTTCTATTAAAATGAAAGGGGCAACATTGGGTTGTTGTAGGTTTTTTCGGGCTGTATGGCCATGTTCTAGAGGCATTCTCTCCTGATGTTTTGCCTGCATCTGTGGCAAGCATCCTCAGAGGTAGTGAGGTCCGGAGAGAATGCCTCTAGAACATGGCCATATAGCCTGAAAAAACCTACAACATCCCATGATTCCGGCCAAGCGGCAACATGTTTGTTACAGAATTCTATATGAATTTTAATATAAACAAGCTTGACAATAGAATTCCTTCATGGTTTTGAGAGCAGCACACTGAGGACTCAGAAAGTTTCAGGTGCTTCTTAAAATTTGATTCTGATGTCTGGGAATTTAAAAAGCCTTCCACTGATCGGAATAAGGGCAGAAAATTGGGTCAAGGGTACTATTTTCTTCCTTTCTTCGTGTATTTATTGTCTTTGAGCCCACCAGGTCTCCTGAAGACCACAACAAATAAAACTATAAAAAAAGAAGTGAGAATACTCCAAAACAGTGATTTCCTCTGGGGAAACATATGTATGCATTTGAGTATGTATGTATTTGTTTTCCTCAAGCGTGTCATTGGTCCTTCCAGGTGGAGACCTCCTCCTGTTGAAACTTCTGAAGAGTGTTGGTAGAGGTGACCGTGCCAGTGAGATGCCCAAGGACAGGAGTTCTACTTCGTATGGCCCTCCTCCAGCCGGCCTGCCATGACCGCCTTCTTCACCAGCGTCCCCAATTGGATTCAAGATGCAAAGCAGGAGGAGGAGGAGGCAGGCTGGAAACTAGTGCCCCGGCCCAAGGGCCGAGAGAGCGACCTTCAAGGGAGATGCCAGTATGACCTGTCGGGTGCCTCTTTCCCCAGCTTGGATAAGCTGAGAGCAAACACAGAGCAGAGACCCTACTGCTGCCCACAACTGCACTGCGGCAAGGCCTTTGCCTCCAAATACAAACTGTACAGGTAGGTGGGATCAAATATTTATTTATTTACAGCCTTTATATTCCGCCCTTCTCACCCCACAGGGGACTCAGGGCGGATTACAGTGTACACATATATGGCAAACATTCAATGCCAATTTTTGACATACAAACATATACAGACATACACAGAGGCTATTTAACTTTTTCTGGCCGCCAGGGGAGCTGTCGCTTTCATCGTCCATCTGCGACACTGATGAAGCACGTCCGCATTCCCCGCATGCTTCCCCGCTGGAATGCTTTGCTGGAGTCTTCTTTATGGCCTCATAAATCAGTTAATTTAGCCTCCCCACACATTAAGGTGGTACCTTGTTTTCCTACTTGACAGATGCAACTGTCTTTCAGGTTGCAAAGGTCGACAGCAGGCTACACACAATTGGTTGGAAACCCACTCCAACCCAGGCTGGCTTCGAAGTCATGACCTTTTTGGTCAGAGTAGCTGACACTCAGCCTGCTGCGCCACAATCCTGGTGATCAACAGCCCATAATCTCCCCATATTTATTCATTTATGAGCTGCAGTTCTCCCAGAGCTGGACCTGAGGCTGCTAATAAAAATAATCAACTAAAAGCTAGAATAAAATCCTAAAGACTAGGCATGGTCCATGAAGCCACGAAGAGTCGGAAACGACTGAACGAATGAACAACAGCAGGCATGGGCAATCCTTGGTTCTAAATGGTTCTAAAGTACTTACAAAACTACTAGAGGGTTCTGGTGCTTTGCTTCTAAAGTGTTGCTAAAGGTGGTGCTTTTCTTCTAAAGTGTTGCTAAAGTTCTGGTGGTGAAAATTTCAGAACTATTTATTTACTGGATTTGTATACCGCCTTTCTCAGCCAATTCACGACTCAAGGCGGTTTCCAACAAATCAGTATACATAAAAACATAATACCAATTAAAACAATACACAATATAAAACATCACAACAGCAATAAAACAACATCTGTTCTGTCGTGCACTGGGTCTGAACAAATTGTCTTTATTCTATAGGACGTACACTTTAAACCCAGTGGGAAGCCGGGTGCCTCAAAGAGAGATTCTTAGGGAATTCCTGAAGTGATGGTCTTTGGAGTCTTTAATGGTACAACAAAGTCTTTATTAAGGAACAGATAACAGATCCATCTGAATCTAGATTAATAGCATACCCTTCCTTTTTGGCTAGGATCGGAAGATCATAGGCTGCGTGTCACACTGATCACGAGCAGTTTAACGTTTTCCACAGTGTTTTGCTGTAGGTTAAGGCCAATGAACCTGAACATCCTTCAGTAAACACCAGTGTCAATACAGTATTGGTAACTAAATACAGAGATAAGTATTTGAGTGGTAATAGGAGACTGTGGTGTGATGTTTTGCATGTGAGTTTAAAGTCAGCCCAATGGCAAACTCACACTGAAAAGAAAAGAAAATTCCAATTTATAATTCTTGGTAAAGAGCAGAATTCCTAGCAAAAAGGATAAAACATGTAAAAGGAGTGAAAATAATTTGCAGAGTTAACAGCGAATGTGGCTCATTTATGATTTGGATGGCCTTAGAAGAGCTGTCCTGGGTCAGACCTTCCTGATCCAGAGCTCTCTACATGCAGATGCCTTTTGGGAAATCCAAAGCCAGGCATGAATGCAACATCCCTCTCTTGCCCACATGCTTTGGCAACTGGCATTTGGGAGAAGAGTACCTCTGACCTTGCAATTGGTATCGACAGCAGTTACTGATAGACTAGCAGTCACTGTTATTCATGAATATCCGAAGGTGAGGCTTATTGTTCAACCATGTGTTCAGCCCCATATCTCTCTTGGGAGAGCAAGAGCTGTTGAGTGAGTGGGTTTATTAATAAAAGACCCTCCTTATAAATGTACAGCAGAGTAACGTAGCAGCAGCGTGACCCAGCACCAGCAGTCCAAAGCGATAAAAATAACAAAACACACACAGACCAAAGTTATCTCTTCCATAGGAGGCATTTCTTTGTAGCAAAACAATATGGTTGCACTGTTTACAAGAACAAGGTTTCCGTAACACAAAGGTCTTTACACTTCCTCCTTTGCTTCCATGTTGGGCTTCTTTCTCATGCAGATAAAACAGCTTCACTCTCACAGAGCCTCTTCTCACACCAAAGTTAATACAGGAGCTTCACACAGTAGCTTTTTACACACAGCAGCCTTTACACTGGAGCTTCCTCTCACCGAAGGTTCTCACACCAGGCCTTCCTCATACTGAGGCCTACTAACACACTGAGGCCTTCTCACACTGAGGGCTGTCTCAGACTGAAGCCTCTTCACACTGAGGGCTACTAAGCTAGAGGCACATCTGCTTATATAGAATGGCAGGTTTTGCTGATACATTGCATCCATTTAGCCCTTGACTCACTTTTTTTGTAATTAAAATACTTACTGTATATACTTGAGTATAAGCCTAGTTTTTCAGCCACTTTTTTAGGCTGAAAAAGCTCCCCTCGGCTTATACTTGAGTCAAGGTTATTTATTATTTTACTCTGGTATTAGTATTATTTTTATTTCATGTATTATTTTACTCTATTATTATTACATTTACAGTATGTTACCCTATTATTATTATTATTGTTTTACACTATTTATGATTATTGTTACATTTATTATTTTACTTTATTAGTATTGCATTTATTATTTTACTCTGTTATTATTACATTTACAGTATGTTACCCTATTATTATTATTATTATTATTATTATTTTACACTATGATTATTATTACATTTATTATTTTACTTTATTAGTATGACATTTATTATTTTACTCTATTATTATTACATTTACAGTATGTTACATTATTATTATTATTATTTTATACTATTTATGATTATTATTACATTTATTATTTTACTTTTATTAGTATTGCTTTTATTATTTTACTCTATTATTACTTTTATTATTTTACTCTATTATTACTGTTATTATTGCATTTCCATTATTTTACTTTATTATTATTATTACAATTATTACGTTTATTATTTTACTCTATTATTACTTTTATTATTTTACTCTATTATTACTGTTATTATTGCATTTCCATTATTTTACTTTATTATTATTATTATTATTACGTTTTTTATTTTACTGTATTATTGTTGGAAGGATACGTAAGTATATTTACATTGAAGATGAGAATGATTTAATCAGAGTTGGGCAGTCTTATCTCAAATTACAGTTTTATGTAAATATTCAAAAACATTTCACCTCCTGATGTCTCAATTAATGTAATTTTATTGGTATCTATTTTTATTTTGAAATTTACCTGTAGTGGCTGCATTTCCCACCCTCGGTTTATACTCGAGTCAATGTGTTTTCCCAGTTTTTTTGCATAAAATTAGGTGCCTCGGCTTATAGTCGGGTCGGCTTATACTCGAGTATATACGGTAGTTAATTTTTAATATTCCTGACAAGAGCTCTGTTTGCAGAAGCTGGATCTGCCCAGCTTTTGTGCTTGGGAGGCATTTTCAATCCTGACTTTCTCTCTCTCCTCTTTTTTTCCCGGCAAGGCACTTGGCCACCCACTCTGCCCAGAAGCCCCACCAATGCATGTACTGTGAGAAAATGTTCCACCGCAAGGACCACCTCCGCAACCACCTCCAGACGCACGACCCCAACAAGGAAGCGCTTCACTGCCCCGAGTGCGGGAAGAACTACAACACCAAGCTTGGCTACCGGCGCCACCTGGCCATGCATGCTGCAGCCAGTGGCGACCTGAGCTGCAAGGTGTGCCTGCAGATGTTTGAGAGCACCCAGGTCCTGCTGGAGCACCTGAAGGCCCACTCTCGGAGGCCCTCGGGCAGCGTGAAAGAGAAGAAACACCCGTGTGACCACTGCGACCGGCGCTTCTACACCCGCAAAGACGTGCGGAGGCACCTGGTCGTCCACACGGGCCGGAAGGACTTCTTGTGCCAGTACTGCGCCCAGCGCTTTGGCCGCAAGGACCACCTGACCAGGCACATGAAGAAGAGCCACTCGCAAGAGCTGCTCAAGATCAAGACAGAGCCAGTGGACATGCTGAGCCTCCTGAGTTGCAATTCATCCGTCGCCGTCAAGGAGGAGCTGAGCCCGGTCCTGTGCATGGCCTCCCGGGACGTGATGAACAGCAAGGGCTTCCCTGGGATGTTGCCCATGGGCATGTACGGGGCTCACGTCCCTGCCATGCCCGGCTCGGGGATGCCCCACTCTCTGGTCCCTAACGCGCTGCCCATGGGGATGAGCTACCCTCTGGAGCCGCCCTCCCCGCCGCAGCCTCCCCCAAAGTACCAGCTCGGGTCTACCTCATACCTGCCTGACAAAATCCCTAAGACAGAGGTGGACAGCTGTTTGGCAGAGCTGCCAGGTGGCCTGCCTCTGGCGCCCGGGGAACCCTCCTCGTCCTCCCCTCAGCCTCTCACCCTGGAGGAGACGCTGCTCTCCAAGAGTCCCGCTTCGCTTTCCGAGGCTCTCTGTGCTGCTAACATGGACTTCTCCCACCTCCTCGGCTTCCTCCCTTTGAACCTGCCTTCGTGCAACCCGCCTGTCTCTTCCGGGGGGCTGGTCATGGGCTATTCGCAGGCGGAGACCCAGTCTCTCCTCTCCACTTTGCCGCCTCAAGAGTCTCCGGGAGGCGCCGCTGCCTCCTTCGGCTTCGGCGCCCTCCATTCGCTGCCTTCGGTCTTCTCTCCTGGCTTGGGCGCCACCACCTTGCCCCGTTTCCACCAAGCATTCCAGTGAGAGGCGGAGGACGGAGCTTCCCTGAGCGTGTGCGGATGGGGCGCAGCGGAGGCGCCCGTTGTGTTTGTTGTCCTACCGACCCAGGGGCTGGGAAGGCTTCCGGAAGGGCTTGCCGGTGGACTGGAACTGCCGCGTCACACTAGCGTGTGTGCCCCAGCCCTGGACAGCGAGTAGGTTGCAGCAGATAGAATTTCAGGTATTTTTTCCCCCTCCCAACTTCATTCATCAATCAGGAGCTACCCGTCTCAGTGACTTTCCAGCCTCCTTCCACTTAAGAGAGAAAGCTGGCTTGGTGTTCCCTCTCAAAGTTTTGCATTTCAGTGTCTTGGTTCATAGGGCAGGCTGAAAGCATTGCTTCGCGCCCGCCCGCCATTCCTCCTCCGTCGTCTCTGCTGGTCATTCCTGCCGTGCTCGGTCTGTGGCGCTTCGCAGAGACTCCTTCCGGCAGAATCATGTTTACGCAAACCCCCCGGACCCTTTCCCTTACCATTTTACCAATCAGGAAGGGCCAGGAGCACACAGTCGCTGTGTCCTGGCCTCGCTCGCACACTGTTTACACTGTGGAGTCGGCTCACGCCGATTGCACTTCACTACTACTTCCATTTCTTCCCCTGTGGGGAAAATAGAACTGACTTTGGATTGCCTCACCTTTTGCCAATTTAGCAGTCTACGCTGTGAGTAACCCCCCCAACTCCCCTTAGATTGTCAGAAAGGATGATCTTGCTTGCATCGGTTTGTCTGAGAGCAGCGTTGGGACAGGGGTGGCTGGGTGGGGGGGAAGCAGCGTTGTCGTCGGGGGACTCATCCCCTTCGTATCTAGCACTCTTTGTCTTGGGAGATTTGGGATTTCTGAATATTCAAGCACAAGCAGACAAGACTTGGGGGAAATTACAATGGCCTTGCTGGCTGGGAAGTGGGTGGGGTGGGGGAGAGGGTGTCCTGGGAGTTGTCATCCCAAAATGTAACCTTCCCAAGCTCTGTGAGTGAGTTTAGTGCAGGTAGGAGCAAATTTGGGCCCTCCAAATGTTTTGGACTTCAACTCCCAGCATTCCTAACAGCCTCAGGCCCTTTCCTTTTCCCCCTCACGCTTAAGCGGCTGAGGGGGAAAAGGAAAGGGCCTGAGGCTGTTAGGAATGCTGGGAGTTGAAGTCCAAAACACCTGGAGGACCCAAATTAGCCCATACCTGTGTTAGTGAGATGATAGTGACATTACAGCTCCGTACCTCTATGTACCGAGAAGAAACTGGGTGGTTCTACCCTCTGCGTTTCGGCTTGTTGTGGTCCCTGCTTTTGGAAGTCCTTCCCACAGAGCAGAATGTGTTTGCCTTATAGGCAGAGTAGACAAGAGACTGGATAGACACGACTCTCAGAGGCTGCTTGGCCATCTGTTAGGAGTGTTTCGATTGTGTGTTCCTGCGTGGCAGGGGATTGGACTGTGGATGGGCCTTGGGGGTCTCTTCCAACTCTAGGGTTCTATGAACTGGGCCTGTGATGCAGCCTCATAATAATAACAGACATTATTTAATATCCCGCCCAATGGGGACTCGGGGCGTCTTACATGAGGCTCAGTAACATTGATCCCAATTGCCTCTTAAGGGAAAGTGGGATAAGACTTGTGGGTGGGCAGGTTTAACTCTCTGGGGTGCTTTGTCTGCACCCTTCCCTCTGCTCCTTGCAGCCTTGTGCAACCTCCAAGCCTCTCCTACTCCTTTGCATCACTTTGGGCCATTGCAGCCCATTCTGAGTTACCTTTAAGGCCTTCTGTCCCTTCGTCTTGCATGACTGCCTTCTGCTGTTTTCTGCACATTTGCAAGAACACAGCTGCAACTGGGATAGTCGTGGCTGAGAAGGTGCTTCTCTTGGAAGTTTTGCTAGATCTATCTATTATGCACAGATATCTATATTGCAATGTAACGAAAATAGAAATTGACAATACAAAAACTATTTTTAGTTTCGCTTTACAGTCCCAGCTGGGTTCTAATTATTACTATACTATAACTCCTAAATATAGTCTGCATAAATATCAAAAGGAGAATAGTACTAATGAAGTACTAATTCAAAGTGCTGGTTTTGACCTATAAAGCTCTATACCAGTGGTTCTCAACCTTCCTAATGCCGTGACCCCTTAATACAGTCCCTCATGTTGTGGTGACCCCCAACCATAACATTGTTTTCATTGCTACTTCATAAACTGTAATTTTGCTACTGTTATAAATCATAATGTAAATATCTGATATGCAGGATGTATTTTCATTCACTGGACCAAACTGGGCACAAATACCCAATACACCCAAATGTGAATGCTAGTGGGGTTGGGGAGGATTGATTTTGTAATTTGGGAGTTGTAGTTGCTGGGATTTATAGTTCACCTATAATCAAAGAGCATTCTGAACTCCACCATCACACCATCAATGATGGAATTGAACCAAACTTGGCACACAGAACTCCCATGACCAACAGAAAATGCTGGAAGGGTTTGGTGGGCATTGACCTTGAGTTTGGGAGTTGTAGTTCACCTACATCCAGAGAGCACTGTGGACTCAAACAATGATGGATCTGGACCAAACTTGGCATAAATACTCAATATGCCCAAATGTGAACACTGGTGGAGTTTGGGGAAAATAGACCTTGACATTTGGGAGTTGTAGTTGCTGGGATTTATAGTTCACCTACAATCAAAGAGCATTCTGAACCCACCAATGATAGAATTGGGCCACTTTCCACACAGAACCCCCTTGAGCAACAGAAAATACTGTGTTTTCTGATGGTCTTTGGTGACCCCTCTGACACCCCCTTGCGACCCCTTCAGGGGTCCCGACCCCCAGGTTGAGAAACACTGCTCTATACGGTTCTGGCCCAGCTTACTTGTCCAAACGCATCCACCCCTACATCCCATCTCGTAATCTAAGATCATCCGGGGAGGCCCTGCTCTCACTCCCGTCAATTGCACAAATGCGTCTGGCGGGGACGAGAGCCAGGGCCTTCTCGGAGGTGTCCCCTCTCCTATGGAACACACTCCCAAATGACGTAAGATCTGCTCCCTCCCTCCCGGTGTGGCAGTTGTTTGGTGTGGCCTGTTAGTGCCTGGGGAAATCTTTTGAGGAGAGGTGATTAGATGTCCTTGATTGTTTCCTCTCTGCTGTTTTGCTGTTGTAATTTTAGTTTTTTTAAAAAAACTCCTAAACATAGTCTGCATAAATATCAAAAGGAGAAAATAGTACTAATGAAGAAGAAGAACTTTATTTTTCTACCCTGCCTCCATCTCCCCGGAGCGGCTTACATGAGGCCCAAGCCCAGGCAGAATAATAATAATAATAATAATAATAATGATAATAATAATAGTAATAATAATAATAATAATAATCTTTATTTCTATACCACCCTATCCAGAGGTGGCCCTAGGTAATTTTCAACAGTAAGCAAACAGTATTGTTTTGTATTGTTGTGTTATGCATATAATCCTGACAGTTATGTTATATACCGTATATACTAGAGCAGGGGTCCTCAAACTAAGGCCCGGGGTCCAGATGCGGCCCCCCCAAGGTCATTTACCGCCCTCGCTCAGGGTCAACCTAAGTCTGAAATGACTTGAAAGCACACAACAACAACAACAATCCTATCTCATCAGCCAAAAGCAGGCCCACACTTCCCATTGAAATACTAATAAGTTTATATTTGTTAAAATTGTTCTTCATTTTAATTATTGTATTGTTTTTAAGTGGGGTTTTTTGCACTACACATAAGACATGTGCAGTGTGCATAGAGATTCATTCATTTTTTTTCAAATTATAATCTGGCCCTCCAGTATTTTAAGGGACTGTGACCTGGCCCTCTGTTTAAAAAGTTTGAGGACTCCTGTCCTAGATAATCAAAAGCCCAATCAAAAGCCGAGGCATCTAATTTTACCACAAAAAAACTGGGAAAATGTATTTACTCGAGTATAAGCCGAGGGTGGGAAATGCAGCAGCTACTGGTCAATTTCATAATCAAAATAGATACCAATAAAATTATATTAATTTAGGCATCAGTAGGTTACATGCTTTTGAATATTTTCATAAAACTGTAATTCAAGATAAGATTGTCCAACTCTGATTAAACCAGTATTCTAACCTTCTTCAATGAAAATATGCTTACATGTCCTCCAATAATAATAAATAGAGTAAAATAATGAATGTAATAATGACAACAATGGAACTCCCTCCCCAATGAAATTTATTTATTTATTTATTTAGCAGTTTTGTATACCGGTCTTCTCACCTCCGTTCGAGGGACTTAGGCCGGTTTCCAACATCAATATTACAGACAGTCATTAAAACATCATATTCTAAATCACACTAAAACATTAAAATAGCAAAATACAATCATATAATTACAGTGGTCAGTCGTCATCAAAAATCATTATTCGTTGTCATCCATCCATATCACAGGATCATGGCTCATTCGTCGAATGCCAATCCCCAAAGCCAAGTTTTCACCTGTTTCCTGAACGTTAAGATAGAAGGGGCAGTTCTGATCTCCAGTGGAAGGGAGTTCCAGAGTCGAGGGGCCACCACCGAGAAGGCCCTGTCTCTCGTACGCGCCTGTGAGGCCGGTGGGATCGAGAGCAGGGTCCCTCCAGACTATCTTAGTAATCTTGATGGCTCATAGGGGAGGATACATTCAGACAGGTAAATTGGGCCGGAGTCGTTTAGGGCTTTATAGGTTAACACCAGCACTTTGAATTGTGCTCGGAAGCTGACTGGCAGCCAGTGGAGCTGGCGCAACAGAGGAGTAGTATCTCCCTGTACCCCGCTCCCGTTAGTAGTCTGGCTGCCGCATGTTGGACTAATTGAAGCTTCCGGGCAGTCTTCAGAGGCGTATAGTAATAGCTAGAACCCAGTTGGGACAGTTGGGACTGTAAAGCAATATGAAAAATTGGATTTTGTATTGTCAATTTCTATTGAAACCATTTTCGTTACAAGAGCTAGATCTTCCAAATCTGCAAATCAAGGGGAACGAGTGGCCAAAGAGCCCTGGACTCCACCTGAAGTTGGCTGCCACTGCTTGAGCACTCACCTTCCTGTTGCTCCGCTGTTTATTTGCAGCCTCCACAACCCTTTCCTTCCCTCCCTCTTGCTTTAAGGCAGGCATGGGCAAACTTGGGCCCTCCAGGTGTTTTGGACTTCAACTCCCACAATTCCTAACAAAAGGTGAGGGAGAAAAGGAAGGGGCCTGAGGCTGTCAGGAATTGTGGGAGTTGAAGTCCAAAACACCTGGAGGGCCCAAGTTTGCCCATGCCTGCTTTAAGGTCTGCCTACAGTCTCCAGCCTTACCTCAGTTACCTGTATGAACTGCTCTGTATCACAGCAAATACCTCATGGTGCAGGTTTCCTTCCCCCTTTTTCCCCTCTCTGTACAGACTCACACATGGTCCCTCACACGTTGGGGCCGCCCAAGCCCCCGATGCGCACTTCTGTATACCTCATATCCGGTGGGGGGCAAGCAGCCCCCTTTCCCACGCCCAGGTATTTTAAGCCTACCTCTGCACTGGGTCCTCCGACGGTCCCTCTGGACGCCTGCATTTGTCGACTAATCTGGGTTAATTCCAGCTTGCTTTAAAGCCTCGCCTCTTCCCCGTCCCCGTTGATTTCACATATTTTGATATTTTGTGCGTGGGATTCTCCCTCTTTCTTGACGGACATGCCTTGTAGGCTTAGCTTAGCTAGCTGCGCTCTAGTTGTAGTTGTGTTCATATCAGTTTTGATGTTTGGCCTGATACTTACCTCAGCAGTTTCATGTGGCGGTGAGCTCCACAGACTGTGCTTCCTGAGCGGATAATAATGCCTTTCCGATTCCAACCATGTGCCTTGCGCTGAGTGCAAAGGAGGCCGCCCGGGCTTCTCCTTCTTCAGTATTTTTAAATACCTCACTTGCATTTCCTTCTACTCACTTGCACATGCTCCTCCTCTTATGCAATTCTCTCATCGCATCCCTACCTCAAGACCTCAGAGCTACGTTTCCACCCTTTGTTTTCCAACCATGGTACAAGACATGGAACGCCTGAGCTGGGCTGCATAGT